CGTGAAAAGTGAGAAATCAGTCAGCAGTTTAACAACTTGACGACAACCGAGAGGTGAGCTCACACGATCACGAAATTCTTGGTCTTCAATTGGACGTTCACCAACATTGACTAATTCCTCTTCGATTTCGCTTGGATTAAGGAATGCAAAAGCGTTCATGAGTCGGATGGCGGGCATACCGTGCCGGCTTTCTTGGATGTATCTGATATTTAACAACCATGTCGTGTGAACCGCCAGGCGTTCAGGCGATTCATAGACTGATACTGGCTTTGCTTTCTGACTTTCCAACAGTTTCAAGCGTTCAGTTTGAAATTGCTCAAGGTACTCAGATAAGCTGCAACGAAGAGCTTTAATACAAGCTCCTGCTTGCTCTAGAGCGAGTGGCAATCCTCCCAGCTCTTTAACTAGACTTTCGGCGACACTGTTCGTGTTGTCATCGCGAATCAACTCCGTTCTGCAAAATATAAACTGCTTCGCCTCTTCTTTGTCTAGACATTTCAGACTAAAACAACGATCTTTACGAAGATTTGAAATCTCATCTACAAGCTTATTTTCATTTCTTCGCGTCATCACAACAACAGCTGCTGAGAAACTTTGTCTTGAAACGAGGGTAAGAAAATTCAATACATGAGGAGAAAGATCCAACTGATCTAAGCAATCCAAGACGATTAAACATGGTTTACTTGTCTGGCCAATTCTTGTGACGGTTTCTCTCAATGTTAAGTAAAACGTCCCGAGTAAGGCACCAAGGTTCCACGCAGTTTCATTGACAGACTTTTCAAAAAATGTATCATCTTCTGCCGAGAACCAGTAAACACCACCTTGGTAATATTCCTTCATCCTGTGAGCATACTCAGTGACAAGACTTGTTTTGCCAACGCCTCCTAAACCACAAACTGCCGCTACACAAACTTTCCTTTCTAGCCCAGTATCGCCAAGATTTAGAATACGTTGAAGATCGTCAAGTTGCCGAGTTCGCCCGGTGAAGTAGTGGTTTATGTCTGGAGCATCGAAAACATAACGAATCTTTTCTTCTTGCTTGCTATGATATTTCGTGAGTTCCGTATTGAACTTTTTTGCGTTGTCCGCCGCAAGCTTTTTACATCTTTCAATTTTGCTAAGCATCTCACGTAACTCGTTATCAAAGTTTGATTGTATCTTACCAAGTTTCTCAAGGAATGTATTCATCTGCAAAAATAGAGGTATTCTAACAATATGAATATTAACTAGCTTTTACGAGGAAAAAGCTCAACAAAACACTGTACTCCAGGCTTCCCATAAAATCTCACTTTGCAACTCGACTTTAAGCTGTCATACGTTTTACAAAATTCAGTGGAAACTCGAGTGTTATGCAAGTATGAACTGAGCTTCAACTTTAATATAAATACTATGTTAAATGAGTCCTTTATGTCTGTAAATGGGTGTGGATTGACATTTGTTTTCATTTTGACTTCCATAATATTTGTGATTTGTTTGAGATAATTGAAAACAGGAAAAACAGTGAGAATGGAAAACTATTTTGAACTATTTTTTTCACTTGTCGAGTTGTTGTGAAATCAGACTATTCAAGACTATTAAACTTTTTTCGCTAAAGATCTGTTTCATGAATGATCAACTTTTATATAAAATAAAACACTAGACAATTCAAGTTGAATGCGAAGAGCTAGTAAGTGTCGATGTTAACTATTACACAAACAAATATTTCAGTGACATTAGTAACTTGTACCTTTCAAGCTGTAGTCCAACATTTCAAAAAATTAAGTTTTAAATTGCTACAATATTGCTTCTGTATAGTTTCGACTTTTGATAAGTCGAAGATTTTGAACATTTGAAAAAAATGGCAAAGGACACAGGAGGCAGAAAAGTACAATTGTGAGTAGTATAGAGAGTGGGGGTTCTGGCGCAGGCGGAGCGACTTGCTCCGCCCATGACGTCATAAGTCGTTTAATTTATTCGGACTCATGTTAATTTATTTAAACTTTACCTGTAAATGATAATTTGCCGTTTGTTTGTCTACTGTCTACAGCAGTTTTCAGTTTATTTCAGGGTATTTCGCTACCGTTTGTTTATCTACGTCTTCTTGGTGATGTCTGATTACTTCATTGCCGTTTGTTTATCTACAATTTCACGCAACGCTTAATTGCATGGTTACGCGACTAATATTACCTGGCGAAATTT